AGTTCCGTGGTGTTGTCATTCTTTTGCTCAGAGAGCAGATTCTGAGACCTCACGACTGCAGTGAGCTGTTCTACGATGTAAATGGCCTGCATTTGTATTTGTATAGCGCTTTTCTAGTCCTTAAGGACCCCAAAGCGCTTTACACTACATTCAGTCATTCACCCATTCACACACACATTCACACACACATTCACACACTGGTGATGGCAAGCTACATTGTAGCCACAGCTGCCCTGGGGCGCACTGACAGAGGCGAGGCTGCCGGACACTGGCGCCACCGGGCCCTCTGACCACCACCAGTAGGCAAACATGGGGTAGGATTTTTGGCATGCAGCCAGGAGGCAGCCTGGGATCGAACCACCGACCTTCTGATTAGTGGCTGACCTGCTCTGCCACCTGAGCTACAGCCACCCCAATGTAATCCAACTTTCCCTCAAAGGTGTTATTCTGAGCAGGCCTCTCCTTGATGTAACCCAATATACGCTCAGAGGTGTTATTCTGAGTATTCACGGCAGCTGTAAGCGTCTCCAAGGTCTTAACCATGCTGCTTTCAATGAGCCAGTTCTGAGAAGTCGCGCCTCGTACCATCGTTTCAATCCCAGTGGGCAGCCTTGGGGGGGTTTGAACAGCCGGTTCCCCTTTCTTAATTCTCTGATAAGTCAGGGTCAAGCCAGCTCCGATCAGCAAGAACCCTGTTATCATGGTTCCGAATAGGTAGATATCTTCAGCGTCCTCGATCGACAGTCCTGCCAGGCACACGATCTTCCATTTCTGCCACCCGTCCATCGTGTATCCGGCAGGGAAAGTCCCTCCCAGACTTCTCCTTGAGAAAAGGGTGTCAATAGCATTCAGAGACCAGTTGATCAAATCCATAATTCCCTTTAGGTTTTAGAAACAGACTGTGAGAGTGTGTTCCAGGGAAAAGTAATACAAAAAACACGAGACTAGACAAGGACATAAGAACTAAGCAGGGAAGATAAGGGAGAGGAGAAAAAGTGCGTCTGTCTCCTCCGAGAGCCAAAAGGTTTTTTCAGGCAAATAGTTGCCCCCTTTACTTATGTCAGTTTCTCCTCATATTGAAAGATCCAGTGCAAATATATCACTCAGAAATAAAACTACAAAAACTTTGTCATTGTCACGGACCTAACTGTATACATCGTGGTGGTTCAAAAACCACCTTTCTTTTCCAGAAAATCATCTATGTCATCCAAATTCCTGATAAAAGACAGGAACTCATTTTTTTAGAGGAAATAAAGTCATCTGCATATTTCCTGTCAGTTTTAAATAAACACCAGTTGAGCAGTTTAATATAATGTTACATAAATAAACATTAATGAATTAATTTAAAAGGGATACAGCAATACAGGTTGTTTCCGCTTTTCATTCAACACACATTTATAGATGTTGAGGACACCTTGAAGGCGTTTCATTTCTTTCTTTCAGCACTGAGGCAGTCGGCAGAGTGGCAAGAATAAAATCATTTTCTGGAAAGTAGATATCAGAAAGGATTCTTTAGCCTCGGGCTCTATGGTTTATTCAACGGTCAGCTTAACACCTTTAAGAAGCATTAAAACATCCAGAATTTATTCATTTAATTATTTTGGTCCAGATGACAACATCTATAAAGAAGGCGATAATCAGTGAAATATTTAACCAGAATATATTTTAGTTTTTGGTTGGTAAACAAATTCCGTATGCTTGCCCTGATTGGTTTCTCCCTTTTTTTTTTGTTCACTAGAAACTACCTACACACGTGCATGCGCGTGTACATACACAAACACACACGCGCACACACACACAGGAACTCATGCAACACTGAAGCCGTAACACCTGCTGAGAGAGTTGAATCTCATTACTTTCAATTACATCACTGAGCACAGCAATACCTGGCTGTTTATTATGTAGAGTTTCTGTTCTCTCCATGGAGAGGGGAAATACACAACACACACACACACACACACACACACAAAACGCCCCCCTGCTGAGAAACATAAACACTATTAGAGTCAATCGAGGGAAAGAGAATGGGGCTGATTTGATTGGTGTTGTTTATATTCCACCTCAGAGAGCTGAACAATTAAAGCTTGTGCTGCTGTAGGCAGATCCCAGTGACGTCAACACCGGCGCAACCGCTTTCCTGAGTTCATGATTAATGTGGGGTTTTCAGATCACGCAAATGTGAAATAAATATCTTTTAAAAGTAAATGAAAAAGCAATTATAATACAATTTTGTTATAAAGTGGATAAGCAGCAGAGCCCCTCTGTACTGTGAGTGCTTTTTTTGGTTTTTACCCATAATTATCAACACTCTGCCACATAATCTGTGACTCTTTCATTTTTGATGCAATTTTGTCATCACTCTGTGGGCCAGATTTACTAATGCTCTGTCCAAGCATTAAAAAAAAATACTTGTGTTATCTGTACTTACTGTAGAGGCACAGTGGTAAGCATGGACACAGCTATTTTTGCAGCTGGCCTTGCATTCAGCATGTATTTGAAGATCCTTCGATTTCAGAGATCAAAATTATGGGAGGAAAGCTTTTAAATGAATCATACAAAAAATATTTACTAAGGGTTGTAGGAGGCAGTTGACTGAAAACCACTACTATCAATGCAGTCTTGTGAGTGCAGCCTCACACTAATTCACCCTGCTTGGTAAATCTGTCGCTACCCAAAATATTTTCAGGGCTGTCAGAGATGAAATCCAGTCGTGTTTATTTATTATTCTTGTGTGAAAAGAGCAAAGCATAAAAAAATAGATAAATTAAAATGCAAGCAGCATCACTGTAGTCATATGACATAAAAGCAATTTAATAAGACTGTCACGGTCCGGGGCAGCGGCCGTGTGGAGAGCGGAAGGAGGACTCAAAACGCAGCACTTATTCAGGTGTGAGGGTGATTTATTGATAATATCCAATATAAAGTGGGGATGGTAAAACAGAACTAAGGATGAACTAACTGGGAGAAACTACACAAAGAAATAGCAAACCTGAGCATGAAGGGAGAACAGCAGGGAGAGCACGCAGGGGATTACACCAGGTATGAACACAGACGACGCAACCAGGAACAGAGGCAAACACACACTATAAGTACACAGAGAGACACTGGGAAATCACACACAGGTGGGAGACACAGCTGGACCTGATTAACCTGACGAGACAGGGGAACACTAACACCAGGGACCAATAGAGGGAGCACAAACCCAAAACCCAGTATCTAAAATCCCAAAACACAAACCATCCCAAAACAGCCCAAGAATAATAAAGAGAATAATAACAATAAGGAACACAAACACAAAGTCACTGTGTCATGGCCGCAGGACCATGACAAAGACCAGTTTAAAAAATATGAATATGGGTGTGAAGGCTAATTGGACAGCCCAGCAATGCAAAGTTTCAAAGGCAAACAATTGCAACTTTTGTTGCAAAGTAAACTGAATATATAATTTTTAGCAAAACGAAGCATGCAAAAATCAATAGTACAGTAAACCAAAGAAACCCAGGCAAAAATGAAACCTGTTTAAATCCAAACAATAAATGGAAAGAAATGGATGAAAACTCAAAAGTATTAGCATGATATAGAATGTACACTTTTACTTTTTCCATTCATTCAATTATATTATCTTTTAGTGTTTTTGCTTGTCAGCCCCACAGTTTGTTTTTTTGCCAACACCCACTGTATCAGCACTCCTGTCAATGCAGTGGTCTCATTTAAATGAATGAAGGGATCATTTCGCCTTGAAGCAGAGGGGATGAAGATATTATTGGACACATAATGCATGTGGAAATTGGTATATTTCAGTGACAAATATCAGTTGAAGAAATTCCAGACAGGATGACTGTCAGTCGGAGTCGCCTCATTAGGCTTCACAGATCACTGTAAGATGAGAGCTCCCTGGTCAAAGCATGACCGATAGAGCCAAGTGGCTTGGGACTCTTTAAATAAAAATCCTCAACACCCTCAGGAAAATGATGAGTGTTTCGGGAAAACTGATTATCACCATCACTCATTATTTCCCCACATTATAGTGGCCTTTTCATTGGCCAAGTCTAACCAGTTGGCACTCTAATGTTTATTGACGGGAGATTTCTTGTCCATGGGGAAACACCAAACAGTTCTTGGGCTTCAAATACGCCCCCGATGAGGGTCTTTAGAAACACTGGCTGGAATATTCCCTTGACTGTTTTATTGTCAAGCTCAATGGAGCATGTATGGTTACGTCTGATCTCATCTTGTAGTACTTTGTTGTTTTCCAAGCTGGACATCAAGACAACATCCTGCACCATCTCCCTGGCATATCCGGTTGTTTAGCTCCCAAGTCAGGATCATGGTGTTCCTTAATTTTAAGCTTTCACTGTCTCTCCCTAAAGGTGCCACTCAGGCAATTCACAAGCCAGCTGCTCATGTTTTGTATGTTAGTGTGTGCTGGGAACAGTGAGATCATGGGCTGTTCTTGTGGGTCTTAGCTATCAGCAGCGGTTGCTGGCACTTGGCTTTTTCATTCCCCTTCATTTCTGTTCCAGGAAAAAATAAATTAACAATGATCAATAAGTTGTTGAGGTAATGTAACATCTATGATAAGCTGATTAACTGTTTTGTGTAATTCTAAACTAAAGCTTAAATATCTTTTAGCTTTGGAGAGCTCATCAAACTCATCTATATAAAAAAGTACATATATATATATATATATATATATATATATATTCCAAGCATACACTTAGATGAATTAACTCTCAGGTGAATACAGAACTGGAGCTGAATAGCAGGTGGTTTAGTTGAAACACTATCAATGGAGGTAAGTACAAAGTAAGATGTGGTGGAAGAGTCTTGAGGGGAAAATCTCCCTTAATCTTTTCTGCATGTCCACAAATTATTTATGCTTCCTCCACCCTATTTGCCTTCCGCCGATTCTCATCTTTCACTCAGCATTGTTTAAAAATCTAGCATAATATAATCTGTCTCACTGTCATCTTGATCTTCTTTGTCTATTTTTTCCACAGGTTCCCTCCATTACCCGGTCCGTGGGCCATGACAGGATCTTGGCTCTCCGCCAGCAAACTCAGTTCCTCTGGGACGCCTACTTCTCCTCCATAGCCAAAATAGTCTTAACAACTCTTGAGGTAAGCTTGCAAAACATTGTCTTAATGGGAGTTGTGGATTTATTTTCATCAGGAGAGTTGCATTTAGTCAGTCAAACTGCTATAGCTTGTTCTGTACTATACATTGCCGCTGGCTATGCATCACCTCCCAAAGACAAACCTTTGAAAGATTTCTTTCTCCAGTTGTCAGTATTTTTTTTTTATCCAAAGAAGGTTAGCTGAATGTGCCCTCTCTTTTGCAGTACTTTTTCTGCTCCATATTCATACATTTCCACTCAGAAGCAGCTCGGCAATGCAGTGTTCAAACACTCAGTGAAGGTATATCAAAGTTACTGGGGGTGATTTGGCATGCTCAAAGTTTGTTTTGAGATCAGGGTTACAGTTTGACTTTTTGTTGTTGTTTTTTCTTCATAAAACTGTGTTTTTCTGCAATAAACCCTTAGCATCATGTGAGAAAGCCGCTGATACACCATTGGCATATAACATTTTTATATAGAACTTATCCTTTTTTCAACTCTCAAAGCTACTGCCCCTCTTTCCCTTTGATTTGGCACCAGCTAGTACTTAATGTTCATTTTCTTCACTGTCATCAGACTTGTGACAGTTACATATATTTAGCAGGAGTCCTTCTGTATCTAATGGTAGTCTAGATTGTGTGTGACTTATCAGTTCTAATCAGTGACAAACAGAAAAGAAAACCTCTTGCTATGTGTGAAAAGTGCTCATAAAATCTCTGGTGGACTATTCAGCAAGGTTAACCTAGAAAACTTTACATGGAGTTCAGGTTTTATTTTAACCTAACCTGACAATCTTTGAGAAAAGAAAAGAAATATTGAAGATGGAAACCAGCATTTTGTTGCCTGAAATGAAAACATAGGCGTCGTGAAGTGCCAGTTGTGAAGCACCAAGTGTGAAGGAGGACCATGCTGTCTGGCAGCCTACAGGTTTAAGAGGCTGCAGTATGTGAGTGGGCGTTCATGCCCGCTCTCAAGGCTAGAAACCCACAGGCTGGCTCATTAAATGACCTAACCAGCTGATGTACAGAAATGAACCTGTGTCATTGCCATGTACCACAAAAGCCATCCTAGTCTTCCTTTTTTTCTTTTTCTTTTTTTTGTTTTAAAAGAAATTCATTTCCTTACAACCTCGATTCAGACCTCAGAGACCATTTGCACTTTGTATCATCTCTGAACACAGACACAGAGGATAATAATCCTTTTTATCACCAACATCAGCAGAAGAATCATAGGTATCATTACATAAACATCAGTATGATTGCTATGATCTTTCTAAAGCCCACAGTTTGTTTTAATTTATCACGTCCACCATGAATATTAGTATCATAATTATCACAATTATCATCATAGCGATAACATAAATACTATTATTACAATCATTACACCAACAAAGAAAGACTAACTTTTTCGACTTAATTTTTTTTAATGTGTGTAAAAATATTATTACTAGGTGAGGGCTGTTGTCTGATTTAATTGCTGAAGTTACACTGAATGCAAGTTTAAAGGTGGAATCTCCATTCTTTTTCACAAAGTAAGTTTGAAGCACAGGTATACAGGTAGATCTTTTTGCACATATTTAGGCTTTATTAAGACTAAGAAAATTGGCTTTATCATTCTTATTGATTTTATATCTTACCTCTTTGAATTTGTACAAATAGAAAGAAAGTTTAACAGACTGAAAAGCCATTAATTTTTAATGCTGGCACAGTTATTTTCTGTTATTAGTCATAAAATAATGACTCCCTTTTTAATTCTATAGCTCAGTTGATTGCTTTGATTGCACAAATGAGCAATCAAGGTATCAACTTTCAAAACTTTCAAAATATGAAGCACGCCTAACCATCCCTGAAGGGTTTCAAACAGCTACTACCTTGTACTTAAAAGTACAACCTTTTTATTTTCCTTATTATTTTCCAACTTTTGCTTTCAGAATTTGCCTCCTGTTATGTGTATAATTTTCTACTTCATATGCATATGTAAAGTAGAAAAATGATACAGTGAACTGAAAGTATGGCATATGCAATTGAAATGAAAGATCTCATGCCTGTAATAACGTCACACATTTGTCTGTTTGAGCCAATTTAATGCTGTGTATATTAAAATGTTTGCATCAATGCCATCTATCAAACACCAGGAATAAGGACCCATCTATTTGTAAAATGACTGATAATTTCATCACCAAGCCCTACAACTATAATTTATGTTTGCCTTCATGTTTACCTTAATAATACAAAGTGTCCTCAAATTGCAGCATTTTTTTTTTTTGAGCACAAACAAGACCTTGGTAATTCCACCAAATGCCCAGTGCTAGCAGGGTATGAAATTAGACAGGAGACCGCTGACAGCTGTATACTGTTGGCCAGATGTGCTAAAAAGTCAGAGCCAGCATGCCACCAGGCTAAACGGGTGAAATGAAGCGTGGCTGATAACCGTAGTGTCCCACATACTGCGAGCCTGACAGTTGGTGTAAGGAGGTGGGTGTGTGGCATATATGTGTGTGTGTGTGGCTGTTAAGAGCTGGATGTAAGTGTCAATTCCCCTTCCCTGTTTCCTCCACTGTTTTGATCTAAATACAAAGAAATGTGATTAAAAAGTTTGTTTGTTTTTTAAATTAAAAATGTGTTTTTTAAGTTTCACAATAAGTCAAAACTACTTAGGTATATCTCTACTTTTGAATGGTTTATAGTCATGTAAAAAATTTAAAATATGCATGTAAAAGTCAAAAATATAGACAGCCCATATGCCATTTATGAAGAAACAACCCGAAATGAAATTCAAGGATTTTTATGTCACTATATAATTTGCAAAAATAAATAAATACAATTTTTAGTAGCAACCAACCAATTGGCTAGGATCAACAGCTCCATTACTCTTGCATTACATCCTGTTGGCTCACTGTCACAACATTCAACCAGCTCACCCAACCTCCGGTAACAAGACAGATGGATCGTGTTAGCTAACTCACTAATGGACTGCTGATGTTGGGATTGAGTTGCTCCACAGGATGAAGTGTCTTGGGTCTGCAAAGATGTTCCTCTCTTCGAGACCTCTCAAAGCACCTAACATAACCTAAAAAGCTGTCATTTTAAATTTCAAATATTAGTACATGTCTGTTGTTAGGTGGCGGAGTTAAGGGGGCAATTTCAGGCAATTGATTTTTCAGTTTGACTGAAAAAAAAAATACAAGTTTCCCTGATCTTATTCTTCTTTTTCTTCACACATCCTCCTTTCTGCTTTACCTCTCTGCTTCATCCAGATCATCCAGGACCGCGTGGACTCCCTTACATCCAGAAACCGTTTGTTGTGGAATTCCCTACCTGGTGGTCTGTATGCATTCCCTCAGTACTCAACTGACGCCGCCCAGTTTCCTTTTTACTATGCTCTACTGGGTGAGTACATAAGCTTTCCGTAAGAGTCATTTCAGTGTAGCACAGATGGTATGGGTTGTTGTTTAATGACTTAGCTGCAGCACAGGTGAATAACTGGAATGCAGTATACTTGCCAATAAGAGAAGGATCACTTAGATTTACCACGTTGGAGAAATAAGCAGGTCAGGATCTCAGCAACTTTGATGGGGGCTGTGCAGTGTTCCTGACCTGTGTGGTTTCCTCAAAACAAGAAGGGTTGTGGGGTGTTTCTGCTCAGTAGTGATGAGTACCTTTTGTCAGAGGAGGCACAAAACATGAACCACAGTGTGGTGCATGTGCTGGGGAAAAGTCAGGTTTGCTGCAGATCCAGCTCGCGATTTACAGGATTTAAACAAATACCCTTGAATGTCTCAAGGTGCCTAAAGGTCACTCAGTTTATTGCATGCCACTTCCTGTGACACAGAGCTAATAAACTCAAGTTTGATACATAAATGATAATTACTGAATCTGGGCTGTGATGCATGGCCGCAGTTTTTCTGTTATTTGTTTTCATTAAGTGTTCTCCTTGGCACAATCATATTAACAGCTGGAGGACACATCATGCAAACAACGATTACGTGGCCACATTTTCGTTTTTGTTGGAATCCAAAACATTCCCTTTTCTTTCAGGGAAATATCAGAATTGTCACTGACAGCCAGGAAGGCTCAACAGATGCTGTCAGTATCATAAAGCCTTGATCAGTGACAGAGAAGTTTCTGTGACAATTCCTGTGTTTTTCTGAAAGTTTTCGCCTCTGAACACAATGACCATATCACTGAGTAAAAAAATTGTAAAATGAGGATGTGTTTACCAACAAATTTCAAATCCAGTCAACTTGGACTTCATTGGCTGCCTAAACTGTGCTAGAAACTGCTGTCTATAGAGCCTAAAACAGTGAATGTACAAGCACCATGACTTATGACAGGTCAGATAAGTGGTTAACAATGGCAGCTGTAATAAAATTCTGCAATATTGTTTTTAAAATGTATACGTAAAATTTTGCAAGACTCCTGTTGGGGCATAGTTCAGAAACTTGAAGCTGCAGGGAAAGAAATAAGGCTTCTATATGTGCATGTTTATGTGGGTGTGCAGACCAGAGAGACTCTCAGTAGTCTGAGGCTGTAACTCAGATCGATGTTTGTCTTTCTCTGAGGAATTGTGGACACAAGGGTTAGAAGGAAGAGAGAGGAGAACCAAAGATGGAGCAGTTTTGTTTACACCTCTGCAGTAAATCACTATTTTTGCTGCCGCCATCACCGGCGCTGCTGCTGGGGGAATAACTTTTCGTCAGCGCCGTGTATAAGACGGTCTCACTCTGATACCTTCCCATAAGTTTTCATGGCAAAGCTGTTGCAACTTGGGCCTGATAGTTTAAAAAAGTTTGGCTTAATGTCAATACATAGCGGCCTTGGGACAAGTAAGACATCGCTATCAGATGCCTCAAGTTACAGTTTTATTTTAGTGTGTGAAAAGGAGTCCAGTCATCTGTGCTCTGCAGCTTCTTCAAATTATATAAACAAAAGAAGGTTGTGTTAATATTCTAGAAATTGATGTATCAGAGCAATACTGTTCCAATATAGCATCTATATATAGCATCTATTTTATAGCTCGTTTGACATTTGTAGTTTTTTTTAATGGTTTTGAGTTTCAGATCGGCTTGCAGGACATGTCAGTATAAAAGTAATTTGATGTATGCTGATTTTCTGTCTTTTAAATTATACATATAGTTGAAATCAGCAAATGCTTTGTCAAAGTCAGTTAGTCCCAGTGTACTAGATGAGAACTGAGTTGCAAAGTTGCTCTCAAGACACCACTAAGGTACTGGTTGCGTAAAACTCCTGGCTCAAGGCTCTGATTTTTCCAAGTAACACTAGACCGTAGTGTATTTAGGACTATTTGCTTAAGAAAATTTTTGTTTAAGAACTTTAAAACATCTTTGACAGACCAATACAGTGAACACTGCTCGGGCTGTGTTTCAAGAAGTTTAAGATATGTGTGCTCACTTTTGGACTATGGCAGTGGCTGAGTTGTGTACATGTTAATTTATTGTATTCTATTTTATTCTTTTTCTATGTAGTATGCATCTGCAGCTTTTGAACCCAGAACAAATCTATCCATCTAGGCAATTAACTGCATCTTATCTTGTTTTATGAAATTGATTATTTGTTAAGAATTACAAAATCCCTCCAAAGTTAACTTCTCAACTTTTGAATATTTCAGACTTGAGTAAGGTCCTTTATGTCCCCTTATGATCTGATTTCAGAGAGCTTCCATTCTGTTCTATGACTGAATGTTTCAATGTTTACAGGGTTTTGATACTAAAAAAAAACGGAAACATGCCGTTTAACAGAAATTAACATGGCTTAGCTATTTTCAAGAAACAGAAGGTTTAACCCTATTTATGTGACCCCCACAAGGGCAGAGCTCATGCTTCCATAAATACCACTAAGCCCACCTGAGATGGCTGGTCAGGGGGCCCAGTGTCAGAGAGATGGATAGAGCAACACTAAAGAGCACTCTGGCTGCACTTATCCATGAGGAAGTGTTTTCCCCTATTCCCAAATGCACCCAACACTTGCCATGCCATGTGCCTGCAGTCCTGGCCTTCTTTGGCTGCTCTGAGTGTTCAGTGTTTCTGTGTGTGTGTGTTTCCACATCTACCTGCCCATTTATCTATTATAGATTTTTGCAATCCTCATTTTAGCTGCTCACATGGGATATCTAACTTTTTGTAATTACTTTCTGGCAGTGTGTAAAAATAGAATAGAAGCAGTTTTGCTGCAATTTAGAGTTTTTCGTCTTCTTGAAGTGAAGGAAACGACAGCAAATAAATTCCATGTGATCACTTGGTAAACATGCTAAACATGTAAAAGAGAACAAAAATCTATGTTAACACCCAGTACCTTTAATATGATGGAAGATTTTCACTCTGTCAAATAATGTTATTGGAACTTATTGAAATGACGTTAAATAAAAGCTAAATTATAGATGTCTCATGCATAAGTACTGATGGATGGATTCCATTATTTTGAATTGCAAAACAGAGGATGAGAATCTTTGTAAAATGTAACGACTTCAAAAAAGTTAAAATTAGAGCTGGAAAGGCTGGAATAGTAAGTGATACTAAAAAGAAAGAGCAGGAGGAACATTGTGATTCTAATTAGGTTTATTGGCAACAAGTCAGTAACATGATGGGGTATAAAAAGAGCATCTTAGAGTAGACAAAAATACATGTAGAGGACTCACTGACAGTTATCGCAAATGCTTAATTGCAGTTCTTCCTACCAAGAGCAGCACAAGTTGTTATTATGTTTAGGGGCCAATTAGGTTTTCACCCGGGCGAGGTAGGTTTAAACAATCTTTTTCCTTTATAGATCAAATTGTTTAAAAACTATCATACGTAGGTCATCTTGCCTTAAATTTGCTTGACGATTCGAAATGTGAAAGTGTGAGAAATATACACACACAAAAAGAAATCAGGAAGGAAGCAAATGTATTTCTATAACACTGTTTATTGTGAAAATGTCAAAATGTGTGTTTATGACAAACCATTGCATTTTGTTATTCAGCCTTTTTGGAATTGAGGTTGTATTAGCTAGTGTTTCCTGGAACCTCTGCTTTTCACAGAACTTTAATGTTATATTTTTATTTTTCTTCATTATGAACCTCTTTGTTTCATATGTTCAATTATGAAACATTAATTTATAATAATTTATAATAATGTAATAATTATAAATGGCGAGATGATTAGAATGCGTCCTCGTGTACTAGAGTGTATTACAAAGTGCTGTTGTGAGATTATTAGGGTATTTAGACTAATTACACAGCTCACAGCTGCCAAATATTCACAGTTTACACAACTTATTTGCTAATCAGATTAAGAAGAAGAAAATCACCATCAGTATTTACACAGACTACAATTTGTTGCTGTTTGTGTGATATTTCTGATCATTTCTTGCCCCATGAAAGCCTTGTGGAACGATTTAATACTAGTCAGATAATGTTTGCAGTGATTATGAATGCAGCAAAGTTTACAGTGCAAAAACAGTGTATGTTTTCTATATTCTCAGCCATCTTAATAACATTAATGTGAATTAAATCCTGTAATATTTGACAATAATAGATCAATCTATTTTGAAACAGAAGATGTATTAAGAAGCTCGTGCTTTATTATATCAATACATTTTTCTGACACAGGTTTGCCACAGGGAGAATAAGGTTCTCAAAATTACAACTCTTCCCATCCCACTCTTTTCTGAATACCATTTGTCAAAGAAGCTTCAATTCATTCTGCTTTGCTGCTTCTCTTTTTGTTCTGTTTGGTTCATTTGTTTGTTTTGGTAAAATGCAAGAGAGTATCTAACAAGTGTTGTAGAAACAGAAATACCCATTATAGAAACAAATCAGCATCATTTGCAATTGAGTAAAAGAGACTCAAAGCAAACTGTTCACTCTTGGATTAGACATGTTTACTCATGGTCAGCCATCTGAACCAGGGGGTATATATGCTGTCATAAAGATGGATGACGGGTGCAGCGTGGAGCACTCTGTGTCCAGTTAACCGTGATGGAGCTTTATGGAGAGCTACATCTGCACAAATCTGTGTTTTGGGTTTTTTTGTGTTGTTGTTGTTGTTGTTTTAAGAGCCTAAATGCAGTTTACACATGACAGCTGTTTGTGAAGTATGGGTATGTTTGTGCAGGTAACAGCCCATCGCAGCAGTTCACCACTGTGATCCATATGGTAACTCCTCTGCAGTCCCAGATATCCCCTGTGGTGAAGCTCATCATCGCTGTAGCCAAGTCCAAGTTCTGTGCACAGGTGGGATATGTGTTTGAACTTTGCTGTGATTTCTGCTGCGGTTCAGGAAAAAGATGAAAGAATGGTTTCACATATATGCAGTGAAATGCAAACAGTGTCAGGAGGTGTTAATTCTCAGTGATCTAAAATGTTTGACTTGACAGTTGATGTTTATGTTATCAATGTGTTTCTTCTATAACCTTGTCTCTCCATATCTCCTCCCTCCTTATTTCCCTTTTCTTTTGTCTCATTCCTACGTTTCCATTCCTTCATTATGTTTTCCTCATATAACAGTAAGAAAATCAAAAAAAATTTTTTTTTAAAAAAGGTCTAAAAAATGAGAAAGTAGATAAGTGATTATTGTAGGTTTTATATTCCAGTTTCTGCTCCTTTTTCAAATAACATACCAAATATAATGTTTGTTTTTTGATAATTTGCTTTAAATCTTCACACAAGTCTTCTTGACCGCCGTAATTTATCTAGAAAGCTTTTAAACAAGCTTTATTATTCTACACATGTTATAAAAAGTACTAGAAAAAGGCACTAGAGTAATACCTGAGGACTAAAGGTCTGTTGCATAAGCAGTCTCTTATATAATGTGGATTTTTTTTAATGAAATATGTTGAATTAAGCTTTACTATAAATATTCATGTACATGTAAATATACTGAAAGTGCAATAGCTTTTGAAACAAACTCGGTGATGACTAACACAGTTCACGCACTCACAGGCTAATGGAATAAGAACATTTTTTTCATTCTGGCACTAAAGATTATATATGTACTCACTCTGATAATAAGGTATTCTTTAGCAAGGGTTCTCTGTAAAGCAGAAGCCCCTGGCTGGTCTTTGCTTCTTGAAAAATAGGACGGACATTTCATTATGAGGAATATCAGCTCATTCAAAACCTTCTGTGGAGAAGCCTATTCACAACAATGTTTGGGCTTGTATAATATTAATGGACACCATGTTCTTTCCCCACACAGATTGTGGTTTTATGGAACTGCGACAAGCCTTTACCTCCTAGAAACAAGTGGCCCTCCACCAGTGTGCCTCTCACTGTCATTGAAGGACAGACCAAGGTAATGGCTGTTGACTTTTTTACATCCATTATGTATTAAAATAGATTTAAATTTAAAAACTTTAAAAACTGACCTGCTTAGGGGCACGCCAGATATGAAAGCGACTGAAACACTCAGCTGATGTTCTGGGAGCTGTGTTAGAGGAAGATGGAAAACAATAACACACAAAAAAAATAAATAACAATAACATAAATGAGAATATCATAAAGCTATAGGATTAGATGCTGTAAACTTACACTGTGTTATATAGTTTGCACATTTTATACCAGTTTTATGAAGTTTAAGGAAAATATATTCACCTGGTGGTTGCTGAGTGATGGCTGGAGATTGCTGGCGGTCACTAGGTGAAATTCATTGCAAAGAAGTTAATGGGGCCGAACTCGAAACCTCCTTGCAATGACTGTGGTCATAAGCAGATTACATGGAAGATGCTGACACTGTCTGCAAGCACTCGCTACCTTCTCACCCAGCGATAGTGAGAGGTAAAAAAAAAAGCAATCCCAGACCGTTTCTCTTCGAAGTAACGCAGCCAAAGCAGTTACAAGATGGCTTTTAATTTAGCACCCACTTTTTTTTACCCAGCAACAGCCAGTATCATCCATCAGCCACCAGCCAGTCGAGGAACACATTTTCATATTGACTGGAGATTGCTGGAGGGTGTTCAATAGGTTCTAGGCCTGTGAGGCATAACTGTCAGTAATCTTTTATGATTAATAAACAGGAGTGCACATAAGTGGTCCGCAGGTGCGCATGCGCTGTCAAAATAAAAGACGCGCACCAGATAAGAAGTTTCAATGCGCGTTTGCGTACATATAAAAGGCACTGTCAAAGGAGCTTGGAAAGAAAAGCGCCTGGACTTGTTTAAGTTGCTTGAAGACGTTTCACCTCTCATCCGAGAAGCTTCTTCAGTTCTAAGGTCAAATGGTGGAGAGTCCCAGATATAAACCTAGTGGGAGTGTCCCCCCAAAGAGGGACAAAAGGATCCCCTGATGATCCTCTAATCACATGAGCCAAGGTGTGAAACTGGGTGTGGGTCCCAATCAGCCAGGGTTTCAGGTGAGCTCATTGTGATACCTGGCCCCACCTTATCATGTGATTTCCTGAGGTCAGATGGCCCAGGATGTGAGTGGGCGTTAAGGCGTCTGGGGAGGGAACTCAAAACTGGATTATAGATGGCAGACAGTTGGTGTCGTAAACCCCCGCCTCTGTTCAAAGATGGTTGCTCACAGTGGACATAAATGGCTTCTTTCACTCCTCTTTCAAACCATCTGTCCTCTCTGTCCAAAATGTGAACATTGGCATCCTCGAAAGAGTGTCCTTTATCCTTAAGATGCAGATGGACTGCTGAGTTCTGTCCCGTGGAGGTGGCTCTTCTATGTTGTGCCATGCATGTAGAGGTCTGGGCATTCCTCGCTACACTGTACCGCATGCCCAGAACGCCTTGTCCTTAGAACTGAAGAAGCTTCTCGGATGAGAGGTGAAACGTCTTTAAGCAACTTAAAGAAGTCCAGACGCTTTTCTTTGCAAGCTCCTTTGACTGCAATGACCTGGATGACTGAGAACCTTCACAGACATATAAAAGGCACTGCTTTTGTCCGCTAGAGTGGGATTTTCACGGCATATTCTGCACCAGATCTCTGTGCGTTCATCATTTGTTTGAAGCCAGCTCACCTCCTGCAACCACTTTTCTGAGAATATGCGCTTCTTTTGCGGTTTGGACTCCTTCTGACATTTCTTTGGAGGTGGAGGAACACCAAAATAATTGCTTAAAGGAGCTTCTTCGACATCTTTAAGATGATGAAGATTCTTGGAAAAGATATCATTCACTTTTAAATGAATGAAAAACTTTATCACCACAAATCATAAGATAATTCTACCCCTGTATGGTTAACGATGGAATGTTCTGCTGGAATCATTGGAGAACTTTAGAAGCATTACTTAAACGTTGCTGTAGACCAAATACACTCTCATTGCAACAATAGTCTCTGATTTTAAAAATGAGTCTTTAATATGTGTTTAGTGTTTTGCAGCGAGGAATTTTGCTCTGTTTAGAGTCTCGGTCCATGATTAATGATTCAGTAAATGCAGCAAAATACCTCTGGGGATGCCAGATGTTCTCAGTCTTATATATTGTTATTATATTAACAGCAAAATAAATACAAGAGTGGGTCAGGATTATGGCTCAGTGAAGCTGAAATACACCAACCATCTACCCTACAGCGAGTATGAAATGACTACATATCACCATTATTAGTGACCATAAGACTGCTGCTCCTAACACTAAAGCAAGCAGTCTTTCTCACACTACATATACTACTACTAATAATAATGCATTACAGACTTTTGAATTGGTTTAGTCAGATGGGTTTTAAAGACCCTGATTTACATCACAGATGTTTTCAGTTACTGTTGCTGATTTACACTCTACAGGAATGTGTGGATGTCTCTTTGGTCCTGATTATGTCCTGCTAGTTTCTTCACATCTGGTAGTGTTAAAAACTCACTCATTTCCTTGTTGAACAACAGGAAAGCGATAAGATATATCGCTTGGTATAAAATTATTGCATTTCTTCCTGTTCTGGAAGAAAAACAACCTCACACACACTGTTCGTTTTTATCGATTTTGCTTTGGCACTCACAGCACTTGTTTAAAATTAAGAAAAGGTTATAGTTTTGATTGGAAATAAATAAGCATGTGGTTGCATTGTGTTTTAAAGCACACCACATGTTTTCAGAGTGGGTTTGTTTTGTTTGTTTGTTTTATTTTGTTTGTGCTTCTTCAGTTCTGGAACAACTGAGGGATATTCACACATAATAAACCTCAGCGGACCACCCAAGAGCTGAAGAATGTGAAGACGTCTCATGGATCTTCAAAACCTAGAAAAACTCGAGTCGCTTTCTTTTCAAGCTTTCAAGCTTTTTGTTCTGAACTGTAATCAGAGACTGGGACTCTTAATCTAAAAATATCAAACCCAAAATGATGTAATTGTAGATTGTAGTTTTTAGGCTGGGTTGACATAGTGTTAAATCAAATCCTGCCACATTTATTGGGTCCATATTAATTACAAGTCCCTTGTTTAAAGCCTCATAGCCCTGTAAAACATGTAAAAAATGAGTATTGCCACTGTGACATTGTAATGTTGGTTTGTGAATCTGCATTTTGAAGCCTCAACATTGGCATATGGGTGAAAACACAGAAACAACTACCTGCTAATTAGTACTAAATAACAGACTGACAAAATATTACATTTTCAAACACAAAAAATGAAACACAAACTTGTTAAACAGACTGTAGCAAACAGCAACCCATATCATTTTTCAGGCAATGTCATTAAAATGCTCCAAAAAGTGCCAACAGCACAAACACAGTGTCTGCTCAGCTCCAGTTCACTGACTCCTTTCAGCAGACGGCTACAGCTGCCTGTGTTGGGTCCAAACTCCGCTTCAGGTCCCAAAGTCAAACAAACTCTGTGGCATCACTGAGAGTTTCAAACTGTCTAAAGTCTTTCATCTTTAATAAAACGATCAGCATTGCTGCTTTACCAGGTGTAACAATTAACTTTAACATCCAGGCAGCCACGAAAAAAGAATTTATTAAATTTAATGGAGTTTGAAGTTAGCAGGGAGTTAGCTCACTAGTTTATCATAATATACCATGTTCTGACTGAGAGATTTCTGAAATTTTTAAATGTACAGCTCTGCTATCACTTCCAACATAAACGAAGACAGAAAACTAAACAGCAGTGACTTTTGTAGGGTTACTGAAGTTTGGCTAGCTGGTATATAATGATTTGCTACGTGATCACTAGCGACACAGATATGTTAGAATAACATAAACACAGTGAAGCTTGAGGGTGAACGTTAACCTTTTTCCACTTGATAAAAGTTAACGTGAGGGTTCCCAACGGTTAGGGACAAATGCAATTTCATGGCAGGATGCTGTAAACGGACAAAACTTCAGTCAGGAGAACAACTGAGATAATCCATCCACAGTATGAGGTTAGTCATTAATATATTGCTGCATGGGCTGGGCTGTAGTTACACGTAAGGTTTTAAAAACTGAGCTTCAAAATGAACAGTGGTAATAAAAACCGAAAGAGGCCAACAGTGATCACTGACTGTTTTTAGGGGCTTGTTCAGATCTAACAGAACAAGATACAAAGCATTAAAACGTTAAAAACACAACACCTTTAATAAACACAGAGCAGTTTGGACCTGGAAGCAGGGTTCCTACGTCATCAGTTAAAGACGGGGTAGGTGATGTCAGTCTAAGTCTGTCTTTTATATGTAGCCTGCTTTAATCACTTGATTAGAAGGATAAAATATGTAAAGAAAGAGTGAAAAAGGTCTCCCTTCTCTCATTAACACCACTGTAATGTCCTTGGAATGAAAAAAAAAGAGAAACATGAATGAACCTCATTATATCTGTTTTCCACACCAAGTTCTAGGTTTAATTAAAAGCAGATATTGAGTATATTTTCATTTAATCCTACCTGAAGTCCTATGATCATGCAGCAGAGGGAGGGAATGATGTATAATGCTCTTTTCCTTTGTCAACTAAATTCTAATCCAGTGCTATTTCAAGTTTAAATAGACTCTTAATGATAAATTTGAAGCAGTGTGAGCTTTGATTGTTAGATATTAGAGCAAAGCCAAGAGTGTGACTTTGTTTCGTTTGTTCTCATTTGCAATATTACTGGGTTGTACTCTGCCTCTATCTACATATACATGCTGTAAAAACTCATAGTTGTTACGGTATATTTAATAAACAGAAGAAAAATGTCACATTTTTTAAATACTTTATCCAACTGAGCTTCTTAAAATGCACTAAGTCAGATACTCACTTACTAAATGAAGCCTCCATACATGCCAGCATGTTTCTCTCTCTATGTCAATCTCTTAGTCGTCTAATTGCTTCTGTTTGTTTTCATGTAAACGTCTCCCTCTTGAAATGAAAGAACAATGTCTCTGCTGGTGACAGTAAAACGCATCTCAGCGAC